AGTTCCCATGTGACTGCATCCATCAGGATGAGGTAAACAACAACTGGGGTTCAAGTAAGATCTTCAGAAGACCAAGGGGGGAGGGATCAGAGTGCCCTTTCAGGCATGGGCTAGGCAAGTAGAGCTGCTAAGAAACCTGGCCCACACTGGGGGTAGGGAAGTGATTACGGTCTTTACGAGTAGAAGAGAACATTACAAATATGTTGAAACGGAAGCAAAGACATACTTCACACCGTGAGAGTCGGGGCATCGGCCTCTAGGGCAGCTGAAGCATGTGAGGGCCGCGTGGGTGACGGGAGGAGCGCGGAGAGGGTGGGTGGTCAGAATGACTCTGCAGAGCAGGGTACCAGGGGAGTCAGGGCAGCAGCAGCAGCCCTGAAAGTACATGCGTCGTATGCGTCGTGTTGACTGAACTGCAATAAACTCGGTGGAAAGACCACGCCCACACTGCTCACCACAAAGCAAGTGTTCCGTGTGCCAACCAATGTTTCGTTCAGTTACGGCTACTGGGAGAGCCGTCCAGGGCACAGGTCAGCTCCAGTCACCTTACTGACCGTACCGTCGAACACCGACTCATTTCTCGTTCTTCACCCTCCTCTTCACACTGGTTCTGTCCTTGTCTCCCCAGAGCAGAAGGCAACAGCGTGTGTCACGCAGTTGTTCAAGGCAGGAACGTTTGGGGTTTCTGCTTCCATGACATATCCTCCACTGTGCTCTTTGAAAAAAAATTCTGAAATAGTCTTCAACCTTGTGATTCTCCTGACCAAGCCTGAGTGTGTCACTGTCCCCTGCCTGTGTTCCTCCGTCTTCACTGCCATTGTCTTGTGTTCACATAGACCTCTGCAACAGTTTTCTATCCACGTTTCCCAGCCTTGTTAGCCTATGATCTTTCAACTCAGACTGGCACACACACACACACATAAGCATATACATACAGATACACACACACACATACACACACCCACATTCCGACTGTAACCTCTCCCCATCCCCTCCCTTTTAAACTATCTGACACATTTTCTCGCTATAGCGCCCAGGACCTCCTTTCTTCCTCATCATACCCTACCACCCTTTGCTGAGTAAGTAAGCTTTAGCTTCAGAGGCCCTGCCTCACTCGGGTCCCGGCCTGCTCTGCATCCTACCACCCTGAAAAGCTCGCCTTCCCCACCATTCCTGCACCCCACATGACTCTCAGTCGGCAGGTAGCCACCTCCAAGACGTCACATCGGGCCATTTTCTGTGAGCATCAACCCCAAAGCAGATTCCTTCCCCGCATCCCCTTCTTTTACTTCATAACAAGCAGCCCTAACTGAAACCGTATTCGGGTTTTGTATTTGTTTGTTCAAATGTCTTTATTAGATGCTTTCAAGTGCAGTTGCTAAAAGTCCAATTTAAACAGTCTCAAATAATACGGCCTTCTGTCTCCCATAAGCTGGTTGAAGCAGCAGTTTGTGTGCCCTGTGTTTTCTTTCTCCTGCCCCCACTACCCACAGATCAGTACCACCCTGAGGCCGAGGATGTGAACATGGACAGGATGGCAGTCGGTAGGCATAGATGCCACCTTTAACTTCACATCGCTCTGAGACAGACATCCCCAAGACCAGTCTTGTGAGACTGGATGAGGTCCCAGCACACCTTCCTAGGCCACCACTAGGCTTCTGATTAAATAAGTTGGGGGGTGGGGAGTTGCTAACATTTTGTAGGCCAGATAAGAAATCTAAAGCCAAGCCTGAAGTCCTGGAATAATAACGGAATCACACTGAAGAGGGGGATGGGGTAGGCATTGGGCAGCCGGCCTCACCCATTTCCCTGCTCCAGATATGGAGGAAAGGGTTGTGCTTGTGGTTCATCGCTGTGTGCTTGCTTCTGATGTGTAAATAGGAGGCCCTGAACCAAGCCTGGTGACCTGGTCTCACAAAAGGAGAGAAACAACGTGAGAGCGGCCTGCTTTAATCAGAGACTCTGCAGATTTAAGCCTGGGATCAGAGATGCTGGGATTAACTTTCAGGCCACCCTGCTTCCCATTCAGTGCTGTCAGGGGAGCTAGGAGAGGAGGCCCAGGGCAGCTCAGAGGAGGTTGGGTAGCATTGCTGACAGAGGCGCTGGGGTCAGGGTGGGGGTGCCTTTATTTAGGGTTCATATGCTCAGTGGGGAAGACACTGCCCACAAAGGCTTCCGCGGGGATCAAATGGAGATCAGATGTTACAGTGGTTTCTGTTACCCCCAAAGTGTGACTCTAGCCAATAAAGCGCATCTCCTCTCATTTCTTAAGGAGAATTGGAGCAAAATTAAGTCTCTTTTAGGGAAGGGAGCACTCATGAATAAAAACTGAGAAACACTGAATTGAAGGATCAGATAATAAGTATGATACCCCAATGAGCAATTCTGAATTGATAGAGGTTGGAAAAAAACAAACAAGAAAACCCAAAAAGGCTGCAGGATCTCAATCCATGTGCACGTAGACATACGTGTTAGTTACTAAACAGACCATCATATACAGTTATGAGGAGCTTTCAACGGAACGCTCTTTTAAAGGGATCTTAGAAAACAATCTTTTAAAGCATTCTACTCCAGCCTGGAAAATCCGCATACCTTTGTTCAGACCAAAAAGACACAGAGTGACTTGGCCGGCATGGTTAAGAATATGATGATTCCCCCAGATGTACATTTTCACAAAATCACTGGAGTCGTCACTGCTACGGGAGGAAGCCAGTCCTCCAGGCTTGCCACGTGTCAGTCACTGGGTGGCAATAGAAGTTGGTGCGAGGGGAATTGGATGGTTATCTAGTAAATGTATTAGTGAGGTCTAGCTGATTCTCCAAGTCAAATGAAGCAATGGAAGGCAAATGGTCAGGCTCAAACACTTCTAAAACTTATCAAAAATTATTCATTCAAGATTATCTGGCAGACCTATGGGCATATTCTCAGGGGACCACTGAGTCTGGGCCCTGCTGGATGTCAGTCTCAGCCTGGAAGTTTCTTCCTGCATCAAGTGACCTGGAATATTCTGAGCTACTGATGCTGTTCACTGGAAAGGGCTGGGTACAGGCGCAGGAGTCCCGGTGAATGGACTGGTGAGAACGTTTGGGGTTTCTAGACACCTTCTGTGAAAGCCACGGTGGTGTCCGAGGAGCCTAAGGAACTGCCATTGGCTATGACAATGTTTCCAACACCACGGTTTTCTTTCTAAACAATGTGAACATCACTCACCGCCACCACATGGATGAACGATGTCACACACACTGCTTGGGGATCATCAGTCTGTATGGGACCTGTAAAACTCAGCCACAGGGGCTGGAGAAATGGTGCAGAGATTAAGGACTCTTGCTGAAGACCTGGGTTTGGTTCCCAGCACCCAAATTCTGCTCACAACCTCGTGTCACTCCAGGTCCAGGGGATCTGACACCCTCTTCTGACCTCCGTGGGCCCTCGTCATATATGAGTTTAAAACACTCACACATATAAAATAAAATAAACCTAAACCGGCAAGCAAACAAACAAAACAGTAGCAAAAAACCAACCAACTAAAAACTCAAAGCTAACCCCTGTGATGGTCTCTTGCTCGGGTTATAAACATTCAATTACTTCAGCCCTGACTTCAGGGCAATCTTTCTGCAAAAGATACAAAATAATTTCCATTAATGTCTTTTTTTTTTTGAAATAGTCTTACATGGCATACACTGATCTTGAATTTACAATCCTCCTGTCTTTCCCCAGGGCTGGAAGTCCGAGTGTATGCCACCATGATGTCTGACTTGCTGTTGTGTTTGAGTGGACTGTACTAATTGGTTTCAGTTCTTAGCTTTGGGCACCCATTGTCTAGATCTATCCTCTGAGCTGGGCACGTAGCATCCTCAGGAACTCGCCCAGCTCTGCTTGCAAAAGATCATCACAGCTGAGCTTGTCAACTGTGTTGCCCTTCCCTCAGGAAAATACTGAGTGTCCACCCACCCGCTCAGTGACTGCATGCGATTCTGTCTAACTGGATGTGGTCTGGGGGTCTTGGGAGCGGTTGGAGTATATAAGTTAGGGAAGACTGAATTCAGGAAGAGGCCTCCATCTATCTACAAAGCTACCAGGAGGACATCATTCATGCTGGGTAGAGACCTTCCCATGTTGCCTGTGACCTGTTACCCATGAACTGTAAGTAACCCTAATAAAATAGTTGGCGAACTTCAGTGGATTGAACTTTGAGACCTTATGGGGAAGCTGTGAAGCTCCCTTCAATGGCCCCATCCCCACCAAACGACAATCTTATGACAGCATCTTCCTTGGAGACACCATCTTTCTGTTCCGGACCTTTCCCCCTCCTCAGTTGGGAAGCTAGTTTTTAAAAAAAGATTGATTTTGAATTTTGATTGTGCGTGGTGTGTCTGTGTGACTATAGGCTATGAGTGTGCAGGTACTGGGATGTTAGAACCTCTTGAGCTGGACTTACAAGCGGTGTGAGCCACCTAACATGTATGGTAGGAAATGAATTTGGGTCCTCTGGAAGAGGAGCAGGTACTTTTAACCACTGAGCCATCTCTCCAGCTCAGAGAAGCCGGTTTCTTAACAGAGAGTCTCACTATCACAGAAAAACTAGACTCCCTCGGAGAAGGGGTCTTTTCAGGGAAGACAAGAAACCCACGCAATCTCAGCAAGACAGAGTTGACCATCTTACACTAAGGAAATGGATCTGACTGTGTAGGAAGGGGGAGATATATACACTTTTATTTATTCGTTGGCTTTTTGAGACACAGTCTCACTATGTAGCCCAGGCTGCCCCAAAACAATTAACCCCCCCTGCTGAGTTTAGCTTGAAAAGCCTAAAACACCAGGCTTGGTAGTCTTACTTATTTTTAACCGTTTGTTCTTTATTTTATTTAGCCTATTAATACCCTCACTTTTCTTTGTGTGTTTGAGATGGTCAAGAGGCCTGAAGCTGTTCGAAGCACAGAAAGGATGTCTAGGTCACATGGTGAGAGCCAGCCCATCAAGTAACAGGAGCCGCTCACCCGTTCATTGCATACAGTTTATTTCACTAGACTGCAATTTTATACACAGTATGAAGGGGTTTCTGGGTAGCACATATAGAGTTTACTTCCTGTAGTGCCGAGGACCCAATTTTTATTTTATTCTTTACAGTATATCATGATACCCTATTATTAAAACATTGTTTGGTGAATTTTTCCAACTACATATAAACGGAGATTTACCACACACACGGTGCAAAGAATGTCTTCATAACATATTGGAATCACAAAGCGTGAATCTAAAATACACCACTGTAATTAGAACGCTACTTTCAAATCACAATGCCCCACGCCAAAGCAGCCATGTGCTGAATCCCCGGAGAAGTCAAAAGCGGTTTGGTGGACTCAGTGGCAGAGGCTTTGAGCTACGATTTCAAAGGAAATCTTTTAAGAATCACAAGTTAACAATTTCAAAATGTCTTCCGTTATCTGTTTAATATTCTCAGAGTAAAAAAACGAGACATTTTAAAATTTATAGTCTTTAAACAAAGCGAATAAACCCAAGCCTCCCTAAACTGAAAGGCTAAGGCTGTAATACTAGATTTCGTAGAAACCTAAGGAAAACCTTATATATGGGAGGTGGAAATAATTCTAAAGGGAATGACATTTCTTTGAGACCATCTTGGATCATTGCCCCTCCAGAAAGGGAATACTATCACAGATGACATATTTCAGCAAAGTGATGTAACAAGCCAAAGAAAGATTGCTTCCTTCTTCCTTCCTTCCTTCCTTTCTTTTTTTGTGGATCAGGGTGGTGGGAAGATCACCAGTTAAATAAGAAACACAACTTCTTAATCAAAGAACCACGTCATCACACACAACAGCCAGGGGTATGGCCGAGAACCTCTCGGTTCCTTTCCCCCCCAAGTTTGAAAGTTCAATAAATAGTAGAAAAATAATCCTTTACTTAGAAATCTTGAGATGCATCATTTAGAGCTCAAGGTGAGTTCAGTACAATAACGGTGGCGTCCAGGCACCGCTGGGAAACAGGAGTGTCTGCCAGCAGTTGGAGGCTCTGGTGTGCTGCGTCCCGCCATTCCCGCCATTGGCTCCAGCTCTCTTCCAGGTCAGGGGTCGAGTGCTTCTGGTGCTGGGAACATTCCCCTGACTCAGTTTCCTTTACAAGTGTCTCTGTTGGAGCTCCATTGGGTCGGTTCATCAGCAGACCCCACCCCCTCCGTTTCAGAACCGGCCTCAGCTTCTCAGGGACTAGGCGGTTTCAGTTTAAACACGCCCCCAGGGGGCAGCAAACCGCCCGGGACAAAGCACAGACACTCAGGGTGTCTTGTGTGGCAGGGCTTTACACCGGCTCATTTCTTCTCGGAGCACTCCGCACCACCCGGTGCCCTTCTGCTTGGGGAGGTGAGGGGACCCGTTAGCACTCGGCATCCACGGTGTGCACTGTCACGGCGGCCTGAAGGTGGTGGCTGTGATGGAGGGTGGGATGTTGGGAGCGGTAGTGGTAGAACTTGTGACTCAGGAGGGCTGCAGTCTGAGGTGGGGTGTCCAGGTCCAAGTCCTCGTCATGGTTGCCTACATCCACCCCTGCTGACAAGGGGTCGTTGTTGCAGGGAGGGTTCTCGCTGTCTTCCTGCGGGCTCATGGTGCTGTAACCTAGGAAAGGAACAGCATAGCCTCAGGACACAGAGCAGACCGACTAGGAGGCTGGGGTGTACTCCGGTGCTAGGGACACTTAGGTGCCCAAATCTGCACGTGACCAGATGTTGACCAGCGGATGCTGAGGTATTTTAATTTGAAGGCGATCTAGAGGAAACCAGGGTTGGTTTGTATTTTTCTAAAAACAATTGATCACATATACACAACCATGTTAAATAACCGAGAAAGCTGGGGGAAACGAACAAGAGTCATCGCTCCACCCCAAACCCCCTGGCCAGTGACTGCCCCACGGTGAAATCACCCCACAGACCCCATTATATGTAGGTACCCATCTTGGCGTCCTGGGGTTGGTTCATTTTCCTACGCTCCTAAAGACTACAATGGTAATTTCCTCTGCATCATACAAACCACTAAAGCAGGCGATGGGCAGCTTCAGGGGGTGTGAATAAGATGCACGCTGGTTGGGCTAGCGGGTGATACTGAAGGGCGAAATGCTCATGGCATGTCAGGGAGGGTCTAACACATTATTATTATGGGATGTCAGTAAGGGTCCAATCCGCTATCACCATGGAGTGTCAGTGAAGGTCCAATCCGCTATCACCATGGAGTGTCAGTGAAGGTCCAATTCGCTATCATTATGGGATGTCAGTGAGGATCCAACTTATTATCACCAGCACCGACATCGACGGCAAAACACAGGTCAGTGATTCCTGTCTAACCGGCTCTTTCTTAATCCCCACTGCAGAAGGGAGGCAGCCAGAGAAGGGAACCTCGTCTAAGGTTCTAGGGCTCAATGAAACATCCAATTCCCATCTAACCCAGAGCAACTAGAAAGGAATCCACTCCTCTCTGTGGAAGCTGGCCCGCAGTGTTTAAACATTGATTCCTTTCAGCATCCTAAGGAATACATGTTTCAAAAGCAAATACCCTAGTTGATCAAAGGATATCTCTCTAAGAACCTTGGCATATTTTTAAATATTGCAAGAAAAAAAAAAACCACCAAAAAACCCCATGTCTTCTAAACGTTTTGAGAAGTGACAGCTCATGAATAGCTTCCTTGCTCCTCACTGTCAATCAGCCCTCATCCATGGGTAAGCACTAGTCACATTTGGGACTGAAAAATTGATATGCTTGCATTCAGCCGAGCAGGAACAGTGTATGGTTAGAAAGGTATGCTCCGTGCAGAAGTGAGAAAGGCAATCTATGTCCCCAGCAAAACAACCCAACCGAAGGATTATTTAACAGCAGGTTCAAAGCAAAGAATATATAGTAGGTGCCTCCTAGGTACAAGCCGCTCTGCTAGGCTCCAGAGGTACAAAACCCTGGTCCTAGCGGAGCTAACAAGCCAGTGTTTGAGACAAGCGAGAACCCAGGGCGCTAGATCACTCTTTTACCGTGGACTGTATGGGGTTGGGGTGGGGGGTGAGGTGACAAATCAAATCGCCTTGTTTCCCTCCGTTAATGACTAAAATTGAGGGTAGACAGTAGTGAGAACTAGAGCTGAGGTTCAGCTGAAGCCCAGAAGGAGGACTAACTCATTCTGGCTAAAGGAATGAGGAGGTCATCACACGTCCACTCGGGCGTTGCCGGGTGAACACGAGTTTGGTCAAGTGTAGCCAGGTGGTGGCGGCACACACTTTTAACCCCAGTACTCTGTAAGCAGAGGCAGGTGGGTCTGAGTTGGAGGCCAGCCTGGTCTACAGAGTGAGCTCCAGGACAGCCAAGGCTACACAGAGAAACCCTGTCTCGGAAAGCAAAACAACAGAGTTTGATAAAGGCGGTATATGCAAACAGGAGAGCAGCCCCAGAGGTATGGTGCCGGGAAGCGATGCCTCCATGATGTGGCTTGGATGTGTGTTAGCAGGGACCTGAGAGCAGACAAGCGGGAAGTGGAGAGGCAAAGCCCAAGCACAGAACACATGCTAGAGTAGACCACAGGTGCACAGGCTCCCTATGAATGGCTGGCTCTGGTCAGAGATCCACTGACAGTTTGGGGGATGGATGAAAGGGTCTTACTACATAGCCCAGGCTAGCCTGAAACTCACTAAATAGCCCAGGCTTGCTTCAAACTTGAGATTGTCCTGCTCCGCTTTGCCGGGGTTAAGAGAGGTTCACCACCTTGTCTGACTAGCCAACTCTTCCTTATTTGCTGCCTTTGCACTCCTAACATTGAGCACAATGTCTCACATAGAGGGGGCTCTTCATAGCAAAACCAGCCAGGTCCGTAGGTACTGGCCTGTAAATGAGGCAGGAAGATTGCCGGTTCAAGCTAGCTGAACTATAGAACAAAGTCAAGGCCAACAAGAGCAGCTTAGATCCTGTTTCAAAATAAAAACTGAAAAAGGGTTCCCTCAGGGGGAGACCACTTGCCTAGCATGTAAGATGCCTTGGGGTCAATTCCCCAAACTATAAAAACAAGCAAGTGAGCTTCCAAACACTAGTCACGCTGTAATTCCCCCAAGTACTGGCATCACTGAGTTTTCTGTTACCTGTGGCTTTGCATGTCATGTCTCATATAATTAGGAAGACTTGGAAATCCAATTTTCCCGACCCAGTGGTTTCCAGCGTCTAGTGATACTCTGTAATTATTTGCCTCATTGTGATACCATTGCGTCTGGATCCGAAAAGGCTCCTGTGTTGGGGGCTTGGAGATCGTCTGCCGTGCTTCGGGAAGGGGACTTCAAGATGGCTTCACCCTCATTAGTGGATCAATCCCTTGACAGATTCAAACCTTGCAGCATCAGAGGGAGGGGGTGGAATGGAGGCAGTGGGGTCTAGTAGAGGAAGCATGTGACTGGAGGCTTGTCCTGGAAAGCTGCACCTCGCTGGGCACCGCGAGGAGGCAACCTCACACCACCCCGTCCTCAACCATCACGGTCTGCCTTGCCACGGCCCAGAAATAACATGGCCAGCCAAACACGAACAGAGACTCATGAAACCGTGAGCCAAAACGCAGCTTCACTCTCTGAAACGACTCCTCTAACTCTCTGCAAACGACCAACAACCAACAACCAACACAGGCGCTATCACCCTTCACGCTACACTGCCTATTTTCTAGCATGGGAGTGGAAATCCCAAGGGGCCAGCGAGGTGTAGAGAAGCAGGTGGAATAAACGTGTTCTCTTTTCTTTCTTTGCAAGTCTTTCTTATGGGTGTGTGTGGTAGGAGTGTGAGTGTGGGCATGCTTGTATAGAGGTCAAAGGACAATCGCCAGTGTCCGTCCTTGCTGCCCACTTTGCTAGAGGCAGGGTCTCTTGTTTGCTGCTGTGGACATCAGGCTGGCCCTCACACAAGCTCCCCAGGGAATCTGCTGTCTTCATCTCCTACCTCATCCCAGGGACTCTGGTCTTACAGACCGGGCTAATGTACCTGGCTTAGTGGGGGTTCTGGGTATGGAAACTCAGGTGCCCCTGGCTTTGCAAACCACGAATCCCTTTCCCCAGGCCACAGACACTTTCTCATTAAACAAACAAACCATGTGTCTGGTGCAAGGCAGTTGTGCTCAGCACCGAGAGCTGGGAGGAATCATGAGGACGGACAGGATCCCTGGCCACGGAGCACAGTAGAAATGCTATTTAAATACAAAGGACCTCTGGCAGCACTTGTAAGCCTATGCTGAAAAGCATTTACGAAGATAACTTCAAGTAAGACACTTGTTTTAGGAATGAGGCCAGGCACCCATAAGGAACAGAAGCCCCAAATTGGGCTTCTGTACTTTGGCATTCTGTTTATGTGTTTACAGTCTATGGTTCCTGAGAAACTATTTGTGAGACAGCTAGGCTCCTCCAGGGGCTCATGCGCCATCTTGTGGTCACAAAGAGTAACTGTAGGAGAGTGTCTCCAGGATACGGTCTGCTTTTGATTAGGTTTTTGTTCATTTGTCTTAAAAAAGGTTCCTTGTAATTGCCAAGGATGAGGAAGAAACCCCGTTTTCAAAAAGAAAATGTTGCTTGCTATATACATATATGCAAACATATCAGTCTAAATGTGGCTGTAAAGTTTCTAATGAGGACGTAACTGCAATATAAACTCACAAGGAGCAAATAAACATATGCTGGCATTTTTAAACTTAAAAATAAGCCAGTGAATATTAGACAGAACATGCTATTTTCTAGAGAAAAAAGAGACAAAGCAGACACACGGCTACAAAGGTATTTAGTCTCTCAACCTGTGAGGCTTACCTTTTGCTGAAAAAAAAAAAACCACTTTAAATTGTCTTAGACTATTGAAAAAAGTGTGGCTGGGGTGTTTGCAAGACAGAGTTCTTGCCTAGCACACATCAGATCCTGGTTTTGATTCCCAGCAGCAAAGGAAAACCACTTTTGTTATATTTTAAAACACGACCTTGCGAGCTATTCCTAAATCAATAAGCAGCCTTGGGCCTCCAAGTTTAGTAACAGCAGTTTTTATCTCTAGGAACGTCACTATGCAGCTTCCCAGGGGCCTAGGCTTTTACTAGTCACTCATATGCACACACGTGTGCATCTGCACACACACTTGCACATGTACGCATAGCACAACCCAGAACCCCGGTACTACCGCCTCACCCGCTCAGCCCTTCCTTGGAACACGAACTACTTTCCCTGCCCCCTTTGTTCACTCCAGAAATCTGTCTCATTCCACCTGGGTCTCATGAACACGTGCCTGCATTTCTGGGTTCCCCTAGAACATAACCAGGGAGGACAACACCCATAGGGTCAGCCTGAGCCCGAGCGCCTACCACGTTCTCCCCTTTAACCTTCATGAGAACTTTACCAGGTAGAAAAACTGGATCCTAGTATTCAGTTACGTATTTTTTTTTGGGGGGGGGGGCAGAGTGTCGTTATGTAACATTGGCTGGCCTGGAACTTGCTGTATAGATCAGCTTACCCTATACTTTAGAGAGATCCACCTGCTTTTGCATGCCAAGTGCCGGGATTAGAGGTGTGTGCTCCCACACCTGGCTATTCTACTTTAAGGACTAAAACATCTCACTAAACTCTAAGCAGCTTGTTGTAAAAACAAAAGAGGTGGTGGACTCTAAAGTGAACGTGTTGCTGTCTTGAGGGGGTTCCTCTTGCTCACCCCCACCCCCACCCCCAGTGCCCCACACACGACAGTACAAGCATGACACAGGAGAATATCATTCAGAACCAAGTTGACAAAACAATCGATTCTATTTCCTCCTTAACGCACATGTAGATTTTATCCTGCTGGCATAACAGGGTCATTCAACTGATGGGTCACTTTTTTCTTAGTGACCTGCTGTATTGGTTCAGGAATACAACAGCCTACAGCTAGGCTCCGTTGATTTAATGATGTATTTGGGCTATGGGGACTCTCAACACCCTCTTCCTCTAGTGGTTTATTCTGTCTGCATGAGAAACTTTTTTTTTTTTTTATTCCTCGGGGATAATAGGGATCCAATTAGTGAGAGAAAAGAGAGACAGTGAGCCTTGCCACGTTCCTGGCTTCAGGTACTCATCCTCTCCGCTTTATCTAAGCTGGGGCTTCAGACACCATCTCAGTAAGACAGGGGAAGAAGCTGGGGAACATTTTGTCACTCCAGATTCTAATTTGGTATGGATGCTACAAGAGAGGGAGAGCTGAGATTCAGCGTTTCCGCTGAATAAGAAATTATTTCTGCTGAACTTGAGTAGCCTCAAACCTGTGTTAGTATTCAAAAGAGAAGGCGCAGACTTGCCAAGCAGAAGAACTTACACAGGTTCAAAGGATTATTTGGGGGGTGTAGGGGGGGAGGTGTAGAAGAGGCAGGAAGCCAAGAAACTGAAAAATTTAAGTTCTGCTTCAGTTCTCCATAGAAACTTGGAGCTTCTATTTAGTTGGTGGGAACAAGGTCATTCAGAGCCCAATCCAAGGTCCCTGGTTTACCAGGCTGGGCTGCAGCATCTCACGTTTTCCAATGGGAGACTGCATCCCTGTGGTGGGGTCAGAGGGATGCCCGTTGCTCGGAGGGATGTCAGTTCCTGTGCTTTTTGCATACAAATAGAAACACTGTTTGAAGGCATTTTTTTTTTTTTCTTTCAGGATAGGTGTGGGAAAAGCCGAGGGGGAGAAAAAAAAGTTTAAATAATTATCTAGGCATATACAAAGACTCAGCTCTGTGGAAACTAGACAGCAAGCTTCAAAAATGAAACATTCTTTCACTCTGGCTCTGTTTTTGAGTAACACTGGCGGTGATGATCTCAGACCAGGACTTATCTACTGTTCCTTATGACAAGCAATGAGAGAGACATCAAGAACGTGAGAGGCTCTATGGTGTGGCTGGTCTTTGGGACAGGACATGGGACTTCCTAGGACATGGATTTGCTTGGTACTTCATACCCCCTCAGTCTTGACTTTTCCTGCAATTAATGTAAACCGACAACTTTGTACACGCTCATTCTTTTCTTAGTCGTCCTTCCAAGGCTCGGTTGCAAAGGTTTCTTCATCAAAGCTTTTGAGCCTGGCAGTCATGGGGGAGGACAGAGCTGAGGACAGAGGACAGTTTGTCTCTGATCCAAGAAAATATGTTGACGATGCTGACACTGGCCCACTAGCAACATTAGAGCCTAAAACACATGGGGGTTCCATGCCCCAAGTATGACCCTTTAGTGACAGTATGATTTTGAAATGTTCCCCACACCCTCACGTTTTGAGTACTTGGTCCCTTAATAACACTATTTTGGAAAGTTCTGGAAAGTCTGGGAGTTGGGCCTTGGCTGAAGGAAGTGGGCCAGTGGTGATTGGTTCTTCATTTATATGTTCCCCCTTCACCTCACCTGCCCCTGGCCATGATGGTCACAGCTGTCCTCTTCCACATGTCCTTGCCACTATGTTTTACCCTCAAGATACCAGCTCAACTAACTAGCAACCCAATTGAAATCTTTTGTTGTTGTTGTTGAGACAAGGTTTCTCCATGTAACCCTGGCCATCCTGGAAACTGCTCTGTAGATCAGGCTGGTCTTGAACTCCGAGGTCTGCCTGCTTTGCCTCTCAAAGGCTGGGATTAAAAGTGTGTGCCGCCGCCGCCTGACAAACTGAACCCTCTTAAACTAGGAGCCAAAAGGAATAATTCCTCCCTGAAGCTGCTTTGTCAGGTATTTGGTCACAGCTATGCAAAAGGGTCAAAAACACACTTTAAAAAAATTACACGTAGAAACCCTGTCTCGAAAAACCAAAAAAAAAAAAAAAAAAAAAAAAAAAAAAAAAAAAAAAAAAAAAAAAAAAAAAAAAATTACACGTGTGTGTATGTGTGTGTGTGTGTGTGTGTGTGTGTGTGTGTGCTTGTGCACTGTGATGTGTGGAGACCAGAGGGTAACTTGTGGGAATCAGCTTCTTCCTCTCCCACCACATGGGTCCCATGGATGAAACTTAAGTCACCAGGCTTGGATGCAAGAGTCTCTACCCATTGAGCTATCTCACCAACCCCCACCTGCTTTATGGAGAAAAACTTGAAAGCAGTTTGTGTGGCCAGGGCCATCTAGCTTGAGCCTGGAGTATTGGGACGCGAGAAAACTCCCTATGCGGTTTCCTCAATGCCATGCTCGAGTGCATCCTTCAGGGAGACTATGTCAAAATAAGTAAGTACTGAACTGGAGAAAGGGAGAGAAAGAGTGCGCTCCAGCCCCCCACAGGAGTAGCCCAAGCTCCCGGGGAGGGGGAGGGGGGAGAGGGCTTCTAGCACAGAGGACCAGGCCTTACCGTGATCACTTTCAGTCCCCGAGCGGCCCCAGTAGCGTCGTCTCCTTTCTGGACTGTGTGCGTGTCGCTCCATGACCGCAGCGATGAACCGAGTGTTGCTGACTATGGGAAGCCAAGGACAGTTAGCGTCACTCTTGGGTCAGTACCCTCACTGTTTCCACCCCTTTGCTCTGAGCACGCTCGCTCACATGCTGGAGGAGTTATTCTTTGAAGAGTTAGAACAGAGAATTTTATAAGAATTTTAAGGATGAGGGGAGCTGGTTTGGAGCTCTCCGGTGGGGGGGGGGGAGGGCACTTAGCCACCCATCTCCAGCCTGCTGATGCAGGCCGAGGGTTAGGCAGCTAAATGCCAAGGGGGCTGGATGACAGAAGTCTCTCTTTATAAAGGAAGCACGTTTCCCTTACCCCGAGTTGTGTATACTAATTAAGGGACCATAGAAAAAAACCTATTCAAAGAAACTTCCCTTTCTAAAACACCACGTTGGAGAAGTAATGAGAAGGGGGGCTTTAGGCCAGAGCAAATGCAAAAGATCACATCAAAAAAGGCTTCTGAGGTATTCTGAAACAAAGCAGAGAGCCACACTTATTCCTAAGGAAGAGGGAGGGGAAAAAAAAAACCCCACCATGTCAAAGCTTCTTAAATTTTAATACAAGCCAAAAGGACATAAGAAAGAATATTTATTTTGGATTAGCCTCCCGCTGACACAAGCTGCAGGAGGCGGCAGATACTCACTGATGCCCCTGTCTTCGTGGCTGTCATCGTCCCTTTCATCTCTGTCATTCTCCAGGTTGGACATACGCACTGACATTTCTGTCCATCATTAGAAAGAGAGAAACATGACTATTTAATCAAACAAAATCACTGGCTTTAATATCCTGCCGAGCACAGGTTTGACGGCCAGGTGACAGCATTCCATCAAGAGTGAGTTCAAGGTGTGTGTCGGGGGGAGTGGGGGGATGGATAGAGAAGTATGGTAGGATGCTCGCCTCGAATGTGCTGGGGTCTATTCCCAGGCGCTCGCTCTCTTTCTCCCCCCCCCCCCCTCTCTCTCTCTCTCTCAAAGAAAAACAATAGTGAGCTTACGAGAGAATGAATGGATGCCCCTGTCTGTTACATCTTTCTAGTAAGAGACGGATGGAAGAACAAGAGAATAAAAACGAGCAACCCCTAGAATTGAGTTCTGAAGACGGAAATGAAACTGATGGAGGTCAACTCATCTTTAATCCTCTACCAAAGGACTTAAGCAGAAGTGGGGTCCAAACCATCACTGGCTTGTGTGTAAAAACGCTACAGGACGGTCAGGTGCTAGGCAACACTGGACGCCAGCTGCCCTCACCTAAGACAGGTGTGGGCGGTACCCCTGTTACCATGCCCTGTCAGGGTTGTTGTCATAGCAACATCGAACACCAATTTGTCACTAGTGCTGCAAGCTGAGTTGAGTGGCCACAATGATTGTGAGTTGAGTTCACTTTCATAAAGGCCAGGCTAACACATCTCTGGGGACTTCGGAGAGGGTGGGGAGGGGTTTTGAGTAGAGATGGCAGACTTAAAACGCTGGCAACTAAGCCATGGCTACAGACGAACTCTTTCATAGCGGGCTTTGATGATGGATCTTGTTTCAAAAGATCAGATTATTCAAATGTGATCATTCTTACTCTGTACAGGGAGGGACGCAATAGAACTAATTGATATTCTTGACCATACAGATCGGGGGGGGGGTGTCCCTGATTTGCTTGGGTTCAGACCTGCAAGGGAGCATGTTGACACAGTCTCTGTCAGCACCCCAGTTCCCCAGCTCAGCTTACGGTAGAAGTAGGCCACGGAGTGGGGTAGGGATGAGGATGTAGGTAGCATCTAGAAAGAACCTAGGACTTTCTGGGTAGTCAAAATAGGGCATGCAGAGTTTAGGCACTGAAGAAGGCATCAGGCTTTGGGGGACTGCAGATGTCACGCTGCCCTTACAGTTGAAGAGGCTGGACCACCTAGAAGAGGCTCTCTGCACTCACCTTGAGCTGCAAGAGGAGACATGTGCTGGTGGCTGCGGCGATGGATCTGGTGGCGGTAAGCATACACGGCAAGGACCAGTACCATGATACAGCCCATGATCCCTCCGGCCACAGGGCCCACGGGGGCGCTCTTAATCATGTTTAGCGTGATCACCTCGTCACCTTCAGAGGATACAGGAACAGATGCACCCTGTCAAGATCCCCCAAGTGCGGGAGGGAGGTAGGGATGGGGGGAGGGCAGTGAGGTAGGAAGGACCAAAGTGGGATGGGTTGGGGCGGCGAGCTCAGCTGCACTCCCAACTTCTCATTGACACACGAGAGGGTGGGAGTGGAGGCTTCCTGGGATTCCCGGTTCTCAAACATTGGCAGCTATACAGAGCCTGAGCACAGATACTGAGCATTGCTGCAAAGAGTAAGCAGAGAAAACTGCTTCCACACAGGCGCTGCCTGGTGCTGACGGAATCCTGGCTGCTCTCCGAAGGGGAAATCTCACCTAGCAGAGGAAAATGAGGCGGGCCTCTCTGGGGGACAGATGAACTACCCACTCAAATGAGAGACAGGAAGTACAGTGAGTCTGTGTCTCACAGACCAGGTTGCGGGGTGGGGGGGCCTCCTTGTAAGCACAGAAAGTAACCTTTGGAGTATCAACTATGTGTCAACTATGTCCCTGCCTGGTTCACATGTAACACAACAGCTCAACTCCTCCTCTCCACAGAAGGGATTCTCTCTCTTCAGTCAAGTTAGATGTGAAGATATTAAAAAGCAAGACATAGATGATCCCTAATTTGCGATGATTGTAATCAGCTGTCAACTCTGTGACACTATAAAAGCAATAAAGAAATCAGTAGAAGCGACACAGACTTTGGAATCTTGATCTTTCCTTGGGCTTGTGAAATGCAGGATATTCTCTTGATACAGGCTATGGCAGTTCCTGGCCAGCCATGGGCTCGCAAAGGTTAAATAACCAGCATTGTGTTATTGAACTGTGCTGTTAGGTTATATAACATTCAGCAGTCTGAGGCAATAAACACAATTTGACTTTTTTTTTTCCAACCCATGATAGGTTTATGGGGCCCTAACTGTATCCCAGGCTGAGAAACATCTACATTTACTAGTGGCTTGAATATTGGTGACTCAGTTTACCAGCTAAGAGTGAGTGAAGACGTGGTACCGATTCTGGGAAGAGACGAAAAAGAAGAGTCTTAATGAGAAATACAGACTCTTCGGTAGTAGTATTGTCAAGGACCTGTGTCCTGATCCCAGGGTCTCATCTCTTTGGGGTATCCCTGCCCCTCCCTAAGCTGCTGTCGCAGCCGAGTAGCTCTGGTGTGTGCTGAGCCCACTGTCCTCAACAGTGATGCGTGGCAGAAGATGCCTACCCTGTATAGGTGGTAAGGAAAGGAAGGAGAAAGGGACCGCTGTGGGAGGGAACAGCCCGCTGCAGGCCCCACGCTTCCGACAGCTGGGATGCACATTCAAGCGGACTCCGGAGTTCAGTCATGTGGAAATCAGGCCCGAGTTTCTCAGAACAAGCTTTATGGGAATGCATTCCAGGCTTGCAAAATTTGGCAGCGTGGTTGGCTGCTCCCTGCACAGTGTATGTAGCCAGCTCTGAAGGTGATTATCTGCCCTGGTTTTGTAACTAAGGATGACTGGCCAACGAAGCAGGGGAGCTGGGAAGAAGATTATTAAGATCTTTGTCCCAGTAGACAGGCGGAAGATGGCATTCACGAGTCAAACCAGCGTGGGCTCCTAATCAACATACCGATGGCCCCCATGTCATCCACGTAGGGACTTTTGGCTCCCACGATCCCTCCGAAGCATTCTTTCTGAGGCGCACAGTAGGATTTGTCCAGGTGAGTCTTCCCGTCGCTGTCCACCACACACCACTCGCAGTCCAGCACCCCGAAACAGTCCCTGCCGAACAGACGGGGTTTCAGAAAGCCGCGCAGGCAGGAGAGCAGGCCAGCTGGCCTTCAGCTGGACCTCGGGGCTCACCTCCTTACTCCTGCTCTGAGCGGCTGTGTGCCAAGTCCCTTTCCTTATCAAGTGGGGACAGCGGTCATTTACCCGGGGATGGCTACTGGATGGCCTCTTGGCCACTTGGAAATGAGAGAAGGCCAAGTACTCCCTGAGTGACCTTATAACCTCCCCACGTGGCTTAGTGTGGTCTTGTTCAAAATCATCTCAAAGCATCAAAGGCAGGTAGAGTCTAGGTTTGTTTGCTTTTGGTCTAACAAACCCATGTCATTATTATTTTTTTTTTTAAAGGAAGGAAATAATAGTCAAATACATTCAGGAAACAGTCTGTTTAAAAGAGATTTGCTCACTGCTGGTCTCTTAGGCTGGGTGCATGGTGATGCTCCGAGAAAATGACCTGGGTGACAGTCTGCCTGTACCTGAATGCAGCGTAACAGCCCACGTTAATCAGTTCAAGGGTAGCCCTTTCCTCCACTCAACCAACACAAGGCCAACTGTGCCCTCACGTCACCCGATCACACGGCAAACAGCAGCTAGCTTCCTCTTCCCCTATCTGCCATAGCCACAGCTCCATCTTAGTTCAAACCCTCTATGGGGAGCAGCCCATAGCAGGGGACACAGGGTGTTTAGTTCTCAAAACTGCCCTGGAGCAGATTTGCTCTCTATGAAGGGAAGTTATGAAACCTTGTTGGCTGCTGGCTCCAGTTGGGAATCTCAGGAGATCCTACTCCCTTGCAACATCTGCATTTTGCTTATTAAAACAAACAAACAAACAACAACAAAACACTTTCCACCCCACAGCAGAAACCTTAATTTTTTTTTTTTAAAGCCTATAGCACAAATGCCAAATCCCTGTAACCAGTGGGAATGGAACATTTAATCTGGGAGACAAAAGGCTTATGGCATAAGACTCATCCTCCCTCTCCCAAAGGCCAGGCAGCAGGAGCTCGGTGGACCTGGCACTGCTCTCAGGGAGGTCTCTTACCCACTTTCCAGTCTCTGGTTGCACCTGCTGTTGACACACTGGTGCAGGGCGTCCTGCAGGCCGGGGTCGATAGCTGTGTACGTCACTGGTTCCTGGTGCACCTCACAGCTTGGGTTTCTATGAAGGAATCCAGCATGGAGGTTAGAAGCAACGACACCCATATTCCAAACCCCTAGTCTTAGATAAGGTTAGCAAAATCTGAGGTTTTATTATTTGGACGGCTGGCTTTGCCACTCAATGAAACCTTGGGCCAATCCATTTAAATACTCTGTTGTTTAATTTGTTTGTATTTGTATACAATAGAAATCATATGTGCTTCTATGTGCATACCCACACACACTGAAATCATAAACTCTCAACATAACAGGAATGAATAAAACCAAAATGTGTTCAACCTTCTGTGTTTACAATCCTCAACCTTACTTTTCTGGGGTAACATTGTGAATAGGATTTAATGAGGACCCCTTTCAGACACCCTTTTTTATGTTTTAACAAATGTGTATTATATTAATAGACATACACACACACAATACCATGTGTTTCCTTTCAGTTCTAGGAGAGGAATCTAGTACAGTCATTAAGAGCTTATCAATAATATTAATAACACCGTTTCATGCATCAGCACAGGTATGTGCACATATGAAAAGCATCTGTATACTTACACAGTTAATTAAAAAAACTGACTCAAGCCGGGTGGTGGTGGCTCACGCCTTTTAGCCCTGCACTTGGGAGGCAGAGGCAGGTGGATCTGTGAGTTCGAGGCCAGCCTGGTCTACAAGAGCTAGTTCCAGGACAGTAACCAAAAAGCTACAGAGAAACCCTGTCTCGGAAAACAACAACAACAAAAACAACAACAACAAAACCAAAAATAACCTGACTAAATATGTATAAAGTACTTAACACGTGGCAGATGTGTAGAAAATACTTGCATGAATCTCCGGTGACTATTTACTTTTACTCTGTTGGGAGTCTTTCTTCTCTATTACTCTCTTATTTTTTGAGGCAGGGTCTCTCACTGAATCTAGAGCTCAATGATTTGGCCAGATTGCTCAGCTAGTAAGCCCTTGGGATCTGCCTGTCTGTTCCCTGGATTGCTGGGGCTATAGGCATACGCTACAAGACCTCATGTTTGTGTGAACTTTACCCACTGACCCATCTCAGCCGTCCTCATACGGCTTTAATACAGCAAATATACTTTTGGTATTTCACAACATGTATATTTAAACAACAAATCAGGCATTATTTAAAACTTGGCTTACTAATTATGATTCTTATTAGGACAAAGCACTTTTGTACACTCTTAACCCACAACAAACTTATAGAAAATACCATAGTATAGAGACTATACATATGTATACAAGAACATATATAAATAACATACACACACATACAAGTGTATATATTTTTTACCTGTTCTCGGCATTTGTGAGGTTGCCAGTGCACTCATTGACCTCCAGGGGGCACTCACAAGGGCATTCACATTCATTTTGTTCCATTCTGAAAGGCAAACAGAATCACTAGTTAAGAGGTAGGTGCCAGCAGGATATCATACACACACCAGGGAATTGAGATTTAAAAAAGAAAAAAAAAAATCCTTTGCCAGTTACACTTGACAGTGAAAATGAAGCTGTGGCCAAAAACTTAAATTGCATTTGGCCTGAATCCGCAGCGTGTGATGGTGTCGTGGGAACAGATACTAAAGGCTTCTGTAAACCTGGACTTCCCTCCTCCCCACCTCTTCTGCCAGTGCCTGGCATCGGTTAAAATGTTAAAGAGTCCATGAATAGAACCCAGCCCACCGGTGGCAGTTGAGACACAGACGGTCCACCATGCTGCAAGCGCAGAAGGCAAGGGAGTCGCAGGTCTCGTTGACAATGCCGACAAACGCGTTGGTGCCTGGGATCCTTGCCAAGCGGTACTTAGAACAGTGGCTGCCATGTACAAGGTTTGTCAAGTCGCCCTGCAGGAGAGAGGAGGAGGGTCAGGACCCACAGACAGCAGTGTGAAGACTCGGCCCTCTCAGGCAGAAAAGACAGGATAGCTTGAATTGTGATTATAAAAAGCAGCACACAGCCACTATTCAAGACTTTTAGTATTTGTGGAAGACGGAATAGGGTGTTGGAGGCCCTGGTGCTGGAGTTACAGGTGGCTGTGAGCTACCTGAAATGGCTGCTGAGAACTTGGAACTTCTATAAGAGCATTGTGAGTTCATATCACTGAGATATCTTTCCAGCCCCTACAGACACTGTTTAAAATGTGGCCCAGAGAACACCGCTTGTTAAAAAATTTGCTTTTCTCGCTTTGGTGAGAAGAAAAACCTACAGATAAGTCTATCAGTCAAATATGATTTCCATTTAGTAGCTGGTATATGTTATGGAAGTCAGCTTCCAGGAAAATTTCTTTCAAAGCAAACATGATTAGCTACAAACCACATGCTTCTTTCCTTTTAACACACCTTTCTGCTTCCTAAAATAATATGCATAAAAACCAAAGGTTCTTTAGAGACCAGTTGATTTCCTGCTTCTGAAACATTGAAACTGAACTAAGTATTCTCTCTCTTCATTCCGTAACTGGCAGATGTGATGAGTAGCTTCTAGAAGTGCCACGAAAAACTCAAAGGCTGTACCATGAGGTCGTGCAATAACTGTTTTTATGCATTTCTATCAAATTCCCCAGGCAAATTATTCCAAGCCACACTGATGTCCATGTCATTCATCTTTTAATATGTCAATTAAAAATGACCAGGGTTGTGGCAGAGTAGGTTCTTAGACTCTGGACAAGTTTTGTCCTGTGTGAAAGACACACACAGCTTGGACATGCAGTGACAGGGCTTATTATGCAAAAAGCTCCATTATCAGAATGTCCCAATTTCATATAGAGTGGAAATTTCAGCTGTTAAGAAATTCTCTATCCCTGACCTGGTGAGATAGTTCAGTGGGAGAAGATACCTGCCACCAAGACTCACAGCCTGAGTTCCATCTGGGGGACCAACATGGCGGAAGGGAAGACCTGATGCGTGCAAGTTGTTTGTTATTTGTTTAACTATGCAAAGGGGTGTTGCATTTGCTTAAATATGTAAAGATGTGATGCATTTGTTTAACCATGCAAAGATGTGTTGCTGTTTTTGCCTTGCCTGCCTAAGGCACCTGATTGGTCTAATAAAAAAAGGAACTGCCAATAGTGCGGGGAGGAGGTATAGGTGGAACTTTCAGGCAAAGAGAGTAAGTAGGAGGAGGAATTTAGGATCAAGGAAGAAGAAAGAAGAGGAGATGGCAGGGAGACACCAGGGGTGAGTCAGCTAGACACAGAGGACACAGGAAAGTAGGACATGTAGTAAAAAAGGTAGAATGCCCCAAGGCAAAATGTTGATGAGGGGAAATAGATTAAGTAAAAAGAGCTAGTGTGACAAGCCTAAGCTAAACATTCATAATTAATAATGTCTTCGTGTCTTTATTTGGGAGCTGGTTGGTGGCCCAAAGAAAATGCCAACTAGAGTTATCCTCTAACTTCCACACATGTGCTATATGTACATCTGTGTAGCCATACAAATGCAGGATGCAATTTTAAATTAAAACTTAAATCAATTAAATTATTCTATTTCTCATTCAACTAGAATGTGCTTTTCAGAAATGTTTCTACTCCAGCCTTGTGGTTTTGCCTGCAGAGGACTCTGGAAACCACTGAAGAAAAAAACCAGATGCATAGAAAGAGGCAGACTTTCGTATAATAACTATCCCAGCTCTCCTGCAACAGTGCTGCTCACAATGGAGCGGGGTGGAGCAGGGTTGAGCAGGGCGCAAGACGATGTTGTGGACACCATAAAGATTTTCGATTTAATCCAGCACATTAAAATAATTAATTTATTTGTTAAATATTTACTTATTGATAGAGTATGTTCATCGGTGTCCTGCCTGCATGTATGTCTGTGTGAGGGTGCTAGATCTCCCGAGACAGACAGTCATAGGTAGTTGTGAGCTGCCATGTAGATGCCGGGTATTGAACCCATCTGGAAGAGCAGACAGTGCTCTTAATTGCTGAGCCATCTCTCTCCAGCCCCCAAATTAGTTTTCAACTGCACATTTAATGACTAACATACATAAATGCCTAGGTAAATTAAAAATTTGCTTCTTGTAAGTTTTCAAATGTTTAGCTCTGTTGCCATGCCCCCATTTTGTTCCTTCCTAGAATCGTTCCAAAATGGGTAAGAGCAGAGTTAGATATTTAGTCATGGAAACTTTGCAGCAATTCAAATTACGTAGAATGCTCTCAGCGACAAAAACAAACAAATGCTTTCAGGATGACATCCACAAAACTCCCCACCTGGTAAGGTGGGAGACCAAGGACTGACTGAGGCTGGCAGCTAAGCCATCGCTAGGACATACAACATTTGTACAGAGTATGGGAACAGCCCTAAGCAGAAACTTCAAAGGGATAAGGGATGGCTATTCTCAGTCGTCAACTTGCCTACATCTGGAATTAACAAATTAGCTAGAACCCAAATGGCTGGGCACACCTGTGAAGATTTTTTTTTTTCTTAATTAAATCATTTGAAGTGGGAAGACCCACTTCTAAGCTGGATTTATGAGGTGGGAAGATATACATTCAATCCAGATCTTTTGAGGTGAGCAATTCATGTTGAATCCGGGCCACACCTTGATAAAGGACATGGAAGAAGAAAGCTGGCTCGCTCCGCTTGTTCTCCCTAGCAAGTCTATGCCGTCAGTGGTATTAGAGCCTACTTCTGTGGATTCCAGTGTATACTGAAGACAGCCGAGACATCCACCTTAGTGAATTGAACTACTACTGGATTCTTGGACCTTCTATTGGTAGATAGTCATTGTTAGACTAGCTGGACCAAGCCTGTAAGCCATTCTAATCAACTAATAAATCATATATATATAGTGGTCTTCAACCTTCCTAACACTATGACCCTTTAACAGTTCCTCATGTTGTAGTGACCCCCAATCATAAAATTATTTTTGTTACTACTTCATAACTGTAATTTTGCTACTGTTATAAATTGTAAGGTACATATCTGATATGTGACTCCTGTAATAGGGTCATTGGGCTCCCAAAGGGATCACAACCCACAGGTTGAGAACCACTGCTCTGGGGAACCATAACTTATACAGCTGGCATATTAATCAAAGCAGAGTACCAACCCTGTGACCTTCAGACAGTCCCTGTCCCATCCTGGCTTTCTGTCCTCCAGTTACCACGGTGGGAGCTGTGCTAAGGTCTTTCCCCATTCCTGGGATCCTGTGACTCCAGGGCCATGAAGTAGGCACGAGCATTATTCCATTCACCGTTCATGAACAAGTGGGAACATGGGCTTACCACCAGGCTGGTATTGAACTTGTAAGATCTCTGCACTGTCCGGTCGCTGAAGCTGTTGCACAGGTTCTTCTTCACAAAGTTTGGGTGGTTCAGGATGTCGTTTGCCACCAGGGGCTCCTGTCAAGGCCACAGAAGACAAGTGTCACTGAACACGCTTCAGGCTGCCGCAGAGTGGAGCCGACAGGCTTTGGCCAAAGAATACCTTGTGGGTGATGTGTTGCTGCTCCAGAGGCGCATGGCCTTTGGGGTCAACGAGCGTTGGATGAGCCACCAGATAACCCCTGTCCTCCATTATGAAGCACCTGTACCAAAACAAGTGATGACCTTCATTTGTGAGCGGCTGCCATGCTTTCAAAGAACTCTTGACCGCACTAGCCTGAAAACAAACTTATCTAGACGTTTGGGGGACGAAAAAGGAAGGAATCTTGCTAGCCAAGTAGACACCTTTCTCTTGAGGTGATAGACTACCTGGCCTCCAGGTTATGGTCAGAGCCACACATTGCTCTGTGGTCACCTGTACAGTTCATAGAGGATATGCCCACCCAATCCAAGTTCAAGGGATGTGAAATTCATTGGAAGGATATTAGAAGGAGGTGGTTTGCTCTTTAGCTCTTTTTTTTTTTTAATTTAAGAGGAAGGAAGCAGAGGAGCATACACAGATACAAACATAAACAAAACACAATGCTTGGTGCATATACAAAGATACTTGCAGGAACACTAAAAATGGCTAGGGCTACTTTAATCAAGACTATGCTCCTCCCCTGAGCATTGGTCATAGCAGTAGCCAGGGGCCTGGCACGTGCCCATTAAATGCCATTGCAAAATTTCAACGGCGACACGAAGCATGGAGCATAAGACTGAACCGAGAAGCTATTTTTAAAAGCAGTCTGCGCTGAATCAAGGGACTGCCCTTGCTTTGATCAGACATTTTCTTTTGAAATTCGGGAGGCAAAGGTCTCGTGGTTCTGTGAGCCTCTTTCTGGAAAAATGTAAGAGCGGCAGCCTAAGCAGCTGAAATTTCACAGAGACTGACATAATGACTAAGTTAACATCAAAAGTGCCCCCTGGTCTTCCCAAATACCAAAGTTGAGGGATGCTTCTAATCACTGGCTTCTAGAGAAATAAGACTTTGGGGCACGATGCTATTCCTCTGCTAGGCACTGTGTCTGTTGTCTAAATAATAAACAGCTTGCGCCTTTGAAAAGGGAAGAAGGGCCGGGCTGGGGAGAAGCCTCTGTGGGAAAAAACGTTCACCTTGCTATCATCCACACCCATACAAAGCTTAATGCAGTAACACACATCTGTAATGAGAACCTTAAAGGCTCATTGATCAGGGAGCCTGGGGTTTACGGTCATGAATGAGGGACCTTGTCTCAAAGAAGGTAGAGGTGATGGCACCCAAAGTTGTCCTCTGACCTCTGCATACACATATGTGACCCTCCCTCCCCTCCGATTTGGAAACAAAAGGGAGAAGACAACAATAAAAACCTGTCTTAACAGGACACCC